TCCCTGTCTCCCTGAGCAGAAGAAGATCATGATCATGTTGTGCTGCATCATCCTGGCCATCATCCTGGCCTCCAGCATCGGGAGCATCTTCGCCTGAGCCCCCATCCCGCTGCCCTCCAGGTGACCGGGACAGGGACAGCGGGTGGCACGGGGGGTCCCCACCTTCCCCAATCCCAGGGGAGTGGCTTTGGGCCTCGGTGGGGTTTGATCCAGGTGGGATTCACCCCCTCGGGTGTCAGGGAGGGATTGGGAGCCACATCCCTTTCCTTGGCATCACCTCCTGTCCCTGTCACAGGTGGCTCTTCCCCCTCCTGCCCCCCGCCCGGATGATCCATGGGAGAGACCCCGGCCTGCCAAGCCCCTGGTCCCTGGAGCCCCGAGGACACCCCAACACATCCCTGGAGGAGTGGAGCCCCCCTGCCGTGCTCCCCCAGTTCCCAGCTCCTCATCCTGCTCTCCTCGGGTGATGGCCGGTGGCACGGAGCGGCCGGAGGGGCCGTGTCCCTCTCCGGGGGGCACACGGGGGCTCTGCCTTGCTGGGATGGCCGGAGGAGCCTCTTCCCTGCGCTCGGAGCTCCTTGGATGTGCAGCCACCCACGCCAGAGCCTTCCTCCTCAATAAAGAGCTCACCCACACTCTGCCTCCTGCCTCAAATCCCGCCCCATTTATCCCCCAGCGTGGTCCCAGTTCTGTGTTTCCAGCTCCAAAACCCATGTCAGGATAAAGAGCCTTGTGTCTCAAACCACTGAATCCTCCAGGATGCTCCAAGTTCCATGATTCCACCTCCAAAACCCACTTCAGGATAGAGCCCAGCCATCCTTTGCCTCATCCCTCAGTCCATGAGGCATCCATTTATCCCCCAGGCATCCATTTATCCCCCAGGATGCTCCCAACTCCATAACCCCCTTTGGGATAAAGAATTCACCCACACTCTGCCTCGTGCCTCAAACCCTGATCCATGGATTCCCCAGGATGCTCCCAGCTCCATGTTTCCACCTCCAAAACCCTCTTCAGGATAATGAACCTCATGCCTCAAACCCTGATCCATTTATTCCCTGGGATGCTCCCAGCTCCTGGTTTCCAGCTCCATAACCCACTTCAGGGCAAAGCCCATCCATCCTTTGCCTTGTGCCTCAAACCCTGATCCATGGATTCCCCAGGATGCTCCCAATCCCATGTTTCCAGCTCCAAAACCCACTTCAGGATAAAGAATTCACCCCCACTCTGCCTTGTGGCTCAATCCCTGATTCATTTATGCCCCAGGATGCTCCCAGTCCCACGTTTCCAGCTCCAAAACCCACTTCAGGATAGAGCTCACCCACGCTCTGCCTCGTGCCTCAAACCCTGATCCATTTATCCCCTGGGATGCTCCTGACTCCCAGACCCACTTCAGGATGAAGAGTCATCCATCCTCAGCCTGGATCCACGTATCCCTCAGTTCCACAATTCCAGCTCAGGACAAAGAGCCTCACGCCTCAAACCCTGATCCGTGGATCCCCTGGGATGCTCCCAGCTCCAAACCCCACTTCAGGATAAAGAGCTCGTCCATCCTCAGCCTGGATCCACGTATCCCTCAGTTCCATGATTCCAGGACAAAGAGCCTCACGCCTCAAATCCCCCAGGATGCTCCCAGCTCCACAATTCCACCTCCATGAGCTCAGCCGGGCTCTGCCTTGCGCCTCCACCCCACGTGTCCCCCCGGGACGCTCCCAGCCTGGCATTCCCACCTCCAAACGCCAGCGCAGGCTCCGGCGTGCTGCTTTAATCCCGTGGGAATGCCGCCCGCGCCCCTCACACCCTGTGTCTGAGGAAGAACTTGCCCCAGTAGCGGCCCTGGAGCCGCAGGTCGTAGGGGCTCAGGTACTTCCTCATGCCCAGCATGTTGGAGGTGATGATGCGCTCGAAAGTCCAGGGGTTCTGGTTGTTGAGCCTCTTCTCCTCCTCCTCCCGGCGCATCTCCTGCAGGCTCTCCCGGCTCACGGGCACGGCCGGGAAGGGCAGTTTTTGGGCCACCTGGGCGAGGAAAGGCCGGACCTGGCCGAAGTGGCAGTGGCCGCCCACCTCAACGATGAGCCTGCCGCTGCGCACGGCCGTCACGTAGTGGTCGATGGGGCCCTTCCCGCCGCCCATCCGGTGGCCCAGGCTCTTCCGGGTCACCGGCTTGTACGGGGCGGGCACGCGCCACACGGCGAACATGGACTTGGGGTCGATGTGGCGCCCGATGGTCAGGCGGATCATCTCAAAGTGGCCCCAGTGCAGGTACCCCCCGCCCAGAGCCTGCGGGGAAACAGCGAGAGCCCGGGAGAGAGGGGGATAAGCCGGGATGGGGGGGGATAAATCAGGGATATGGGGTGGAATAACTCAAGGATAAGGGGTGGGATAACTCAGGATATGGGGGGGATAACTCGGGATATAGGGTGGGATAACTCGGGATATAGGGTGGGATAACCCAGGATATGGGGTGGGATAACCTGGGATATGGGGTGGGATAACTTGGTATATGGGGGGATAACCCAGGATATGGGGTGGGATAACCTGGGATATGGGGTGGGATAACTTGGTATATGGGGGGATAACCCAGGATATGTGGTGGGACAACTCGGTATATGGGGTGGGATAACCTGAGATATGGGGGGATAACCCAGGATATGGGGTGGGATAACTCAAGGATATGGGGGGGATAACCCGGGATATGGCATGGGACAACTCAGGGATATGGGGATGGGACAGAGGGAACTGTGTCCTGCCTGGGAACACTTAACCTGCAAGTCACACTCCTGAGCCCCTTCCCGGGAACGCTGGGGCGTTCCCAATAGAGGTAAATCAGTTTTCCAGAGCCACTCAGGCACCAATTCCCTCCAGTTCCTGGCCGTTTTGGGAGGGCTCAGCAGCACGGGGG